CACAGGCTGTGGGAAGACCACACGCATCCCCCAGTTGCTCCTGGAGCGCTATGTGACCGAGGGCCGCGGTGCCCGCTGCAATGTGATCATCACCCAACCTCGCCGCATCTCGGCTGTGTCTGTGGCACAGCGGGTCAGCCATGAACTGGGCCCTTCCCTGCGCCGGAACGTGGGCTTCCAGGTGCGGTTGGAAAGCAAGCCCCCAGCCCGAGGCGGGGCCCTGCTTTTCTGCACTGTGGGCATCCTGCTGCGGAAGCTGCAGAGCAACCCCAGCCTGGAGGGCGTGAGCCACGTCATCGTGGACGAGGTACACGAGCGGGACGTGAACACAGACTTCCTGCTGATTCTGCTCAAGGGCCTGCAGCGGCTCAACCCAGCCCTGCGGCTGGTGCTCATGAGTGCCACGGGGGATAATGAGCGCTTCTCCCGCTACTTTGGTGGCTGCCCTGTCATCAAGGTGCCTGGCTTCATGTACCCTGTCAAGGAGCACTACCTGGAGGATATCCTGGCCAAGCTGGGCAAGCACCAATACCCACACCGGCACCGGCACCATGAGGTGAGGGATGCTCCCACCCCATTCCACCCAGGGCTCTGGCCTGTCCTCTGTGGATTCCCCTCCTCCCTGTCCCTGTGGCTTTGTGGCCTCAGTTTCCTTGATAGAAACGGGGGAATAATCACGCCTGTGTGGCAAGTATGTGAGGATTGGAGCTGACATGTCAAGTGGCTCCATCTCACTGAGTCACGGTGGCTGTGTCCTATGCACGACCTCTTACCCTGTGCTGTGACTGTGGCCTCTCTTCCCCCACCCCAGTCTGAGGATGAATGTGCACTGGATTTGGACCTCGTGACTGATCTGGTTCTGCACATCGATGCCCATGGGGAACCAGGTGGGTGCTTCCCTCTGCCCTGTGCCCACCCCAACCCCCGTGTGCAGGAGCAGCCGCTAACACCTGCAGGCCCCTTTACAGGTGGGATCCTGTGCTTCCTGCCTGGTTGGCAGGAGATCAAAGGAGTGCAGCAACGCCTCCAGGAGGCCCTGGGCATGCACGAGAGCAAGTACCTCATCCTGCCAGGTGAGAGCCTGGGTATAAGGAACGATGCAGCCCCTGAAATGAGTCTTGTCCTCTGTCCTGGGGACTGACCCCACTGGGACTCAAGGGGCCCCAGTTTTTGACCAAGCTGCGCTACTTTTCACTGGATATGTTTTTTTTTTTTTTGAGACAGAGTCTCACTTTGTTGCCCAGGCTAGAGTGAGTGCCATGGCATCAGCCTAGCTCACAGCAACCTCAAACTCCTGGGCTCAAGCAATCCTCCTGCCTCAGTCTCCCGAGTAGCTGGGACTACAGGCATGCGCCACCATGCCCAGCTAATTTTTTCTATATATATTAGTTGGTCAATTAATTTCTTTCTATTTATAGTAGAGCCTGGGTCTCGCTCTTGCTCAGGCTGGTTTTGAACTCCTGACCTCGAGCAATCCGCCCGCCTCGGCCTCCCAGAGAGCTAGGATTACAGGCGTGAGCCACCGCGCCCGGCCTGGATATGTTATTGATCTGGGCCTCAGTTTCAGCGAAGTAGGGTCAAAATTCTTGCCCTGTCTTCATCCCCGGGAGTGGTTTTGGTGGAAGTAGCGCATGTAACCAGTGTGTCTTGCTGCCCACCAGTGCACTCCAACATCCCCATGATGGACCAGAAGGCCATATTCCAGCAGCCTCCACTTGGGGTGCGCAAGATTGTCTTGGCCACCAACATTGCTGAGACCTCCATCACGGTCAATGACATTGTACATGTAGTGGACAGCGGTCTGCACAAGGAGGAACGCTACGATCTGAAGACCAAGGTGGCCCAGCCTAGATCTGCCTTAGACCTGCTTTGTGTGTCCTGAGAAGGCCTCTTGTAGGGTCTCAGTGTCCCTGTTTTGGTGTTGGGGGGGCTGGTGGCTGGTGAAGGGTTATTTGAGATGTGGGGAAGCATTGAGGAAGGCCTGTGACGTCTGTTGCTGCTCACCTGTCCTCTCCCCCAGGTGTCCTGCCTGGAGACTGTGTGGGTGTCAAGAGCAAATGTGATCCAGCGCCGGGGCCGGGCGGGCCGCTGCCAGTCAGGCTTTGCCTATCACTTATTCCCACGAAGCCGGCTGGAGAAAATGGTCCCTTTCCAAGTGCCAGAGATCCTGCGCACGCCCCTTGAGAACCTGGTGCTGCAAGCCAAAATCCACATGCCTGAGAAGACGGTGCGGCAGGGCAGGGCAGGGGCAGGCCTAGGGAACAGGCTGTTGGGAAGCAGGCTCATGGTGGGCTCTGGCTTGTTCTGGTAGGCAGTGGAGTTCCTGTCCAAGGCTGTGGACAGTCCAAACATCAAGGCCGTAGACGAGGCTGTGATCTTGCTCCAGGAGATCGGTGAGTGGGGGCCAGGCTGGTCTGGGCTGGGCTGGGCAGGGGAGTGGCTCTCAAGGTTGGGGCTGACAGCCGAGCTGTTGCAGGGGTACTGGACCAGCGAGAGTACCTGACCACTCTTGGGCAGCGCCTGGCCCACATCTCCACCGACCCCCGGCTGGCCAAGGCCATAGTGTTGGCTGCCATCTTCCGTTGCCTGCACCCACTGCTGGTTGTTGTTTCCTGCCTCACCCGGGACCCCTTCAGCAGCAGCTTGCAGAACCGGGCGGAGGTGGACAAGGTCAGACCCAGTCCCTTCCTGTAGCCCTCTGGCTCTTCCTTCAGACCCTCCACCATCTACTGTCCTAAGGGGCCTCATCTGGCCCCTCCCATGTAACCTAGGTACCTTCTTTTCCCAGGTGAAGGCACTGTTGAGCCACGACAGTGGCAGTGACCACCTGGCCTTCGTGCGGGCTGTAGCTGGCTGGGAGGAGGTGCTGCGTTGGCAGGACCGCAGCTCCCGGGAGAACTACCTAGAAGAAAACCTGCTGTATGCGCCCAGCCTGCGCTTCATCCACGGTCAGCCGCCGCCCACATCTGGTCTCCTCCTGAGCCCCTTACTCCCTTCTTGCCTGTCACCCTGCCAGCCTTGTGCCAGGGGCCCAGGTTTACTGTGCACTTTGCCTTCCCAGGACTCATCAAGCAGTTCTCTGAGAACATTTATGAGGCTTTCCTGGTGGGGAAGCCCTCAGACTGCACTCTGGCCTCTGCCCAGTGCAACGAGTACAGCGAAGAGGAGGAGCTGGTGAAGGGTGTGCTGATGGCCGGTCTCTACCCTAACCTCATCCAGGTGTTGCCTCTAGGAGGGAGTGGGAGTTGACCAGGTCCCAGCCTCCTTCCCTTTCCCCACCTCCTTGCTCAGCTGCACTCATGTTTTTCTCCATTCCTGCAGGTGAGGCAAGGCAAGGTCACCCGGCAGGGGAAGTTCAAGCCCAACAGTGTCACGTACAGGACCAAATCAGGCAACATCTTGCTGCACAAGTCGACCATTAACAGGTGGGGGGCAGCCAGGACTGGATGGGGTAGCTGGGAAGGGCCAGAAGGGTGGCCTCACTCAGCCCTGTGTTCCCTAGGGAGGCCACACGGTTACGGAGCCGATGGCTGACGTATTTCATGGCAGTCAAGTCCAATGGCAGCGTCTTCGTCCGGGATTCCTCCCAGGTGCACCCGCTAGCTGTGCTGCTCCTGACCGACGGGGACGTGCACATCCGTGGTGGGTACCTGCGGGCCTTCTACCCCCACTGCTGAGTCTCATTCCTTAGGGTGCCTCACCTAGACTCCTCACCGTCTTTTCTGTTCCCCCAGATGACGGGCGCCGGGCCACCATCTCCCTGAGTGACAGTGACCTGCTGCGGCTGGAGGGCGACTCACGCACAGTGCGGCTGCTGAGGGAGCTGCGCCGGGCCCTGGGCCGCATGGTGGAGCGGAGCCTGCGCAGCGAGCTGGCCGCACTCCCCCTCAGCGTGCAGCAGGAGCACGGGCAGCTGCTGGCGCTGCTGGCCGAGCTGCTGAGAGGACCCTGTGGCAGCTTTGACGTGCGCAAGACAGCTGATGACTGAGCCCTGCTTCTGCTGGGGCTGTGTACAGAGTGCAAATGTTTATTTAAAATAAAGTTCTATTTATCCCTTGTGAGCATTGCTATCCGCTAGGGGCTCCTCTCTCAGGGCCTCAGCACTCTGGGCCACAGTTCCCCAAACCAAGGGGAAGAAAAAGGAAGGTATAGATGGGAGAGACTGAGATGCTTATTGTTGGGGACAGGGCTGCCTGTGGCCCCAAGACCGGTGGGGGAAGAGGGTCAGAGCCTCCGACCCCAAGAGTGGTGGTTTGACCCACCAGTGCTGTTAACCACTTGGGTACGGCGCTCACCGGCCGGAAACCTTGCCCACAGCCGGCACTCACAGTCCGCACGGTAGTGTGTGCTGTGCATTGATGACGAATCCGTTTTGCTCTTGTGTGATGAGGAAAACTTTAAAGCACTGAAAGCTTGTTTTACTTTACGGGCAGCTTAACTTGTAATGTATGTAAATCAGAATAGGTAACACATACGTGTTTTTATTACGTTATTTTTAAACGTTCACAATTTTTTATTTTGATAAATGAAAAATTATAAGTCATGTCACAGCTGTTGGCTACAGTCGATGCTCAGCTGTGCACGTTAATCTGTGGCTGTTGACTATAGTCCACGCTGGAGCTGGCTGGGCCAGCCCAGTCTTTTGACACAGCTGCTCCTATAGGTAGGTGTCCACCCCACTGGGAGCCTGTCAGAACTGTCGCTGTTCTTGTGGGTTTTGTAAAGCAAGTGTGAGCAGCCCCTCCCCAGGCAGATTGGGGAATAGAGTTGCACAGGCCACTGAGGCCCACTTAGACCCAAACCCTTGAGTGGTGTGGCAGCCCTTGCCACAAGCACACTGGTACTTTCCTTTGGCCATATCCACGAGTTCACAGCTGAGAGGGCTGAGTGCTTAGGTCATCAAGACAGTGTGCACACAGCACACCAGTCCCTGGGGGGCAGGGGCGGCGGCAGGGAACAGATGTTAGAGGTGGAGACAAATCAAGGCATATAGAAGCAGCGCGGGGGCCTGTGTGATGGGACATCAGGCAGCTTTATTTACTCTTAAAATTAAAGTGTTACAAGAGTCACAACTGGTAATGGCCGTCCCATAAGCAAGTTGGCAAATACAGAAATGTCCCACACCCAAGTGGCTGCAGAGTAGTACATCACATAGGGGCCTTTGGTCCCCACCTGTCAGGCAGCCTTTTGTGGGATCCTTCAAGGGAGCTGTGACCAGACAACCTCTAAGAACACTGACCATGCCTGCTGCCCACCTAGAGAGCTTCCCACTTGGGTTACCTTCCCCTCCCCCCCTTGGCCAAAGGAGTGAAAGGACTCGGAGCCTGCTGTCCATCTCGGCATCCTCATGACCCAGGATCAACACAAAGCAGGGCCATCACCCCAGTTTTCATCTTGCCTCTTACTCCTGCAGACAAAACCCTGGTGCCCTGATGTCCCTGGCATGGTTGAAGCATTCTGCAGACAGTCTTTCAGGCAGCACTTTTCCCACGAGGCCCCTGCAATTTCTTGGTATGCGCTGGGGGAGCTGGGAATACGGCATCAGACCTCCCCAGGTTAACTCTACCTCAGAGGGGATCCGTCAGGCCCAGGGCTGCCCTCCCTGCACTTGGGGATCAAGACCCTTACCTTCAGCTCCAAGGCATGCCAGGAGCAGAGGGGCAGAAGTGGGAGGAGGGCCTGAGGGGCCGAGTCTGAGGCAGCCTCCTCAGAGGCAAATCTGCACTGCAGCAAATGCCTCTCCAGAGGAGAAGTCCTTGGAAACTCCCAGGCCATTTCACTACAAACTTATGTTTTAATCCTTTATTAGAAACCATGCAAACTTTAATACAAAAAATACAAGTGCAATAAGAATCTTTGTGTCAATACAATTCCCAGGGTTTGTCATCATTGCAGCCTTCCCAAGACCGGGCCAAGCTGGGACCCCATCCATAGGCTGGCCTCACCTCTCCTCCCTCCCCTCTCCAGTCAGGCTATATGGGAATCGGGGTGGCCTCAGTCTCATATCTTTTATTTTTAAATTTCCAGACTTGATTCCCCACTATCCACATGAGTTCTGGACATCTCGGGCTCCCCTGGACACAAGGGCTTGAGTATCCTGGGCTGCAGGTACAGGCTAGAGGATTTCAGACTTCCATGGCCCTTTCCTGTTTCTCAGGCCTCGGGCCTTGTATCTCAAGGCTGACCACCAGATCCCAGGGAATGAGACAGACAGAGATGCCCAAACCAGCCTCTTGGTTAGAAATGAAAAGCAGCATACACACAAAATGCCAAAACCACCGGTCCACAGTCTGACCAGCCCATAGTGTGACCCGCTCACCAGCCACAGCCGCCGCACCTCACTTCCCTGCCGACACCATCTGCAGGGCCCAAGCTGCCCAAAGGGCAGCTCCCGAAGCCTGACGCCCTCCTGGGTGGAGGCTTAAGGATCTCCCCTCCCTGTTTCCCTTAACACCTACTGAGGACTTTCATTTAGACATGGCTTCAACCTGCAAAACTATTCCACCAGTTTATAGGTTATTAGAAAATAAAAGGATAAAATGAGAAAAAGAAAAATATAATAGCAGCTAGGCAGGTACGGTAAGCAGTGGGGCCAGACAGCACTGACCCCTGACTAACTTGGGGCAGGGCAGCAAGAGGGGCCCGAAACCACCTGGGTGCCATTGTGGGGTCAAACGGAGAGGCGGTGGCTTAGCAGGCTCTAGGGGACAGGGTCAGCATCCAGTCATCACTTGGAATCCGCCTCCATTCTTCCCTCCAGGTAGATTCAGGGAGGAGGGAAGGCATGCCAGTTTCTTTTGGGTTTGGTCCAGAAAAACCAAACAAAGGAGGTTGGAATCCTGTTCCCTACTCCTAGACCCCACCTTAGCCCCACCCACCCAGTCCCCTAGCTCCTCCAGCTGTGGTGCAGTGAAGGGACAAGAGCAAGCAGGGAGCTGGGCCTGGGGCGGGGACTGAAAGGTGGTGTGGGGCGGGGCTGTGGCTGCCCTGGGCAAGCGAGGCAGGAGGGAAGGAGGCCCAGTGGGCTGCCCAGAGCCTGAGCGCTCACAGGTCTAGTAGACAGCCCGGGAGAGGGAGCCCAGGGCCCGGGAGCCTGAGCTGGGGCCGCCAGGGAAGTGGGGGGGGCGGGAGACAATGTCAGCCCCATGGTCGGTGCGGGCCCTGGCATTTGCCCGGAACGTCAGCCTGTAGGTCTCAATCTGCAGTGACACGGGAGGGAGGGAGGAAGGGAGAGGGTAACAGGGGAGACAAGAGGGGGAACACAGGGGAGACGGAAGACGAGACCAGAATGTCATCATTAGATGCCTGGAAAATAAAAGGTTACTTTGTTAAAATTTAGGCCACACTCTAGTCAAAATACAAAGGAGTTTCAATTTGCGGCCAGTGGCAGGGCCCCTGGCTGGCCCTTAGGCCGAGCCCAGCCACTTACTTGTCTCCTGGATCTGGCTGTCCAAGGTCTGGGCCTCCCTTTGGTCACCACCCACTGACAGGGTGGTGTGGCCACTGAGGCCAGTGGCTGAAGTAGGGGCGCCAGCTTCAGGCGCTGCCTCAGAGATGGCCAGCTCCTCCCCAGCGGGGGGGCCCGGACACGGAGGGGCCTCGCTGCCACCGCCCTCAGTCTACAATGAAACAGCGGGGAGACAGTGCAGGGTCAGTCGGGGAGGGAGTGGAATGGGTGATGGTGGAGGGTTTCACACGCAGCCCCCACCCTTGCTGTCCCAGCACCCACTGGCTCCGTGTGCAGTCACTTGGAGAATCTAGACCATGCGGCCCCCAGCCCCTGCTCCCACCCCCACCTGTGAGCCCAACTCCTGAGGGTTCAGAGCGATGGGCCAGTGACACTCTTAGAGCCCCCCTGTGACAAGCAAGGCTTTGTGAAGCATCTCTGGGGGGAGGTACCAGGCCTCTCAACAAGGCTGGTACCAAATAAAAGTAACTGTGACAAAAGAGTTAGCAACCAGCCTGAGGAGCAACCTTCAGATGGAGGGCCGGCACCTGCTCGGGAAGCAGCAGTGCCAAAGACTAGTCAGGAAGGTCCCCCAGGGGCACAGCATGTGCTCAGAGAAGGGTCAGGACTCATGGGGTGCCCCTGCCCATTCCTCTGTCTGGTCGGTCACATACCAGACGCTGAGGCCTCTTCTGTGCTGGGCACTGTTCTGGGGCCCAGGGGTCTAGGGGAGGCAGGAAGGGGGTGTCTAGGGGTATGACCCAGGGCCTGGAGGGCTTCACAGGAGGAGGACAATTTGGGGACACTGAACACTCAGTGTGAGTAAAGCAGTAAAGGGAGAGTAACAGTGGGAAGCCACACGTGAGCTAGAAAGCCTGTGTCCCTGAATGCCCAAAAAGTGACAAGGGAGACTTCACAGTACTTTTTAATCAGAGCAGTGAAAGAAGCAGGCAACTATATTAGAAAGATAATTCCAGAAATAATGCAGGCAGATAATGTGAATAAAGGAAAGAATACAAAGGCCCAGGTGTTGAGCTGTGGGGGCCTGAGAGCGCAGCTGTGTGCACCGAACAGTAAAAACATATATATATATAAAGCCCAGGTTAGAATCCTGGTTCCCACTCATTTGTGGTGTGGCCTAGGACAAGAGACTAAGTTGAGTTAATGCCACTGAAATAGACTTGATTCAGAACAGAATGAAGAACAGCATCCTCACAAGCTGTGGGGGACATGAACCGAGAGCCTGTGACAGCTAGGACTCCCCAGATGTTCACAGAAGCTGACTGGGGCTTGAGTCAAAGCACCGAGAGGATGGCACAAAGGGACAGGCAGTGACCAGCCCTGGGCAAAGGCCCTGAGCAGCTGCAGCTACCCTTATGCTTGGAAGCCTGCAAGATGCTGCTCCCGTGGGTCCCACCCACTGATGACATGAACAGAGGACAGACAGCATCTTGGCACACAGAGGGATCCACGGTACTGTGAAGGAGGAAGGGAGGAAAGAGGGGAGGGGGAAGGGAGGAGAGGCCCAGCCAGTGTGAGGATGGGAAGCTCTGCCTCTTGAACTCTCACCTGGAGCCCCGGTGGGGCAGGCCATGTGCAGGCCCTGTGGAGGCAGCCTGCTGTTGAAACTGCAGCTTTCAACTGGCAGCTGAAAATGTGCTATCCTGCGTCCATGCCAGGAATGGAGCCTGACAAGGGACAGGAACCCACATTCCCCTCCTCCATGAGATAGCTGGGGAGAGCTCGCCTGTGATGACCTGTGCCCCAGCCCACAGTCCCTCTAAAAAGGCTGGGATGGGCTCAGTAAGGAAGGCAGGCCACCGCTTCCAGCTGACAGGTGAGAGGTGGCTGGGCTGGGGCCTCTACACCTCTCCTGCCTTGCTCAGGTCTGATGGTGGACGATGGGAAACAGCAATGGTGTGGGTGAACACATGACTCCTGAAGAGACTGAGGGGCGGTGACAGGCGCCTAGCTGCCAGGACCTTGACCCTAGCTGCATAGTCCCCACCCCTCCTCAGCTGTGTGTCCCTGGTGACCCACTTGCTACCTTCACGGCACCTCCTGCAGGTAGGTGGCCCACATTATCGAGGGATCCCACCTTCGCCTGGGCCTTCTCCTTGAAGTTCAATTTCTGACTTTCAATCTTGACATCTCCTCCACCTAGAACCAAGAAGGAACGGGTCACTTAGAGGTGGCAGAGAAACATCCCAGCAGGCAAAGCCAGGAGTCTGGAATAGAAACTTGAGCTTGGCCAAGGACTGGTGACGTGTGCAATCTGGAAATGGGAAAAATGTGATGTGCTCCTGGTGGCGGTGAGGGCAAACGAGGAACCGTGAACAAGCTTGTCCAAATGGGGCTTCTCTTACTAAAGTGAGGCTGAGACAACCTCCCTGTCTGGCCAGTGGGAATACCTCCACAGAGAAGGACGGCCACTCTCGCCATCCCCGCAGCTGGCAGCAAGCAGCTGCACATCAGACATGGGGGGGCTGGGGCGCAGAGCACAGCTTCTAGGAAGAACCTTCCCAAGGTGCCAAGATGAGCAGCTGCCTTTGATTCTCTTGGCACAAGATGTGTGATGACCCCTCCGGCCACCCAGGTCATGTTCCTAGTGTTTTTGAGGCACAGCCTCACTGAAGTCTCAGGAACGTCCTTATCAGGGTCCTGACCCTTGTTTCAAAGCTGCTAAAACTGATGCTGGAAAAGAGAAGTGACTTGCCCAAAGTCACCACCAAAAAGTCACCACCCTCAGCCTAGAGCACACATTTCCCTCAGGTCTAGGCCAACAGTGCCATGCCCATGGCAGGTGCTCAAGAGTGTGCATATGGCAGCCTTCACAAACTGCTCCTCCTCCACTGAGAAGTTCACATCCTACCTCCCCCTCTCTCACAGGGACTGAGGACTGTGGTGAGTCCACTGCGGGATCCTGGGTGGGAGGTGGCTCGCTGAGTCGTTATGGAATGATAAAGGCACATGGAGGAACCCCTTTGCCAGAGGGCTGTGCAGCTGGCCCACAGCAGGACCACCCACCCAACTGGAGTCCCAGTTGGGCAAGAGAGGCACCACTTACCAGGCTTGTGCTTGATGTTAGCCTTGGACCCACATTTGGAGGAGACCTTAGAGATGTCCACTTTCTTGTTCTGAATCTGAACCTGTGAGGAACATGAAGGAATGATTGCCTCAGAAAGAAGGCATGTTGTCAGGGCCAAACTCATGCTACTCAGGCCAATCTTCTCCATGTTCGAGGTTTTGCTCTCTTTCTCTCTAAGCCCCTATCTCAGTCAATTCAAGGTCAGAGTCACCTCCCAAAGTGCTTAAAAGAGCCCTTGATCTATCCTTGCCGTGCTTTTTCAGAATTACAGGTGTTAGCCACTGCATCTGACTCTGATCTCCACTTCTGGCCCCACCTCCAGCCGGACCAGACCACTGTTTCTCACATACACAGGGCTTCCCATGCAGACCCTGTCTATGTATGGCCCCCAGAGTTCTTCTCCCATCTTTCCAGGTCCAAAACCAACATCAAGGCTCCCCTGAAATGTCCCTTCTGTTCCACATTAAAACCTTACTTGTCAACTCCTTGCCCAGAGAATCCTGGAATAACACTTACTTCCAGTTCTTATCAAGGCATTTTCCCCCCAGCCATATATATACACACACACACATAATTTTGTATTCCTGCTTAATCCATGTTATAATAATATTCCCACAAAAGAAGGGAAATGCAAAAAAAGGATCACATCATATCCAGCAGGATATCGGCCAAGATCAGCCGCTGAGAGGCTTGGAGTCCAGTGAGAAGGGTGGGTGGAGTGGCTCATTTCTCCCTCCCTGACGTCTCTGGCAGTCAGTGGGCTCCCGAGCTGCTGGTGAGCTCTTCTACACTCACAAGCCCGGAAGCTGCTGCCACCAGTGAACTGGGGGCTTAGTGAAGACGAAGCCACAGGCAGCCGGTGCCCTTGGGGTCATTTCCTGTCACTGCAGACCCAAGCTCAGACAGCAGGCGCTGTATTACTTCTCTCCCCACCGTGCACCTATGTCCTCCCCAGGAGGCCTCAGCCCCTCAGATTTCATGTCATTCGTTCCCACGCAAACATTTCCAAACTCCAGCCCAGAATGCGGGAGCCACAGGGGACTGGTGGGGCCCGGAGGATCTGTGTGACCCCAGAGTCTGGACATTCTGGGTGGGCTGTCTTCTGGAGAAAGGGACAGAGATGGCCAGAGTGCTAGCTTTCTTCCATGAACTGTAAGGTGAAAGCATCAGGTAACTTCAAAGGAAAACCCGTCAGACTAACTGCAGACTTCTCAACTGAGACCTTGCAAATCAGAAGGGATTGAGGCCCCATTCTCAATCTTCTCAAACAGAATAATGGCCAGCCTAGAATTGTGTATCCTGCAAAACTAAGTTTCTTATAGGAGGGATAAATAAAGACTTACTCAGACAAGCAAAAGCTGAGGGAATTTGTCAAGATCAGACCCGTCCTACAGAAGTACTGAGAGCTGAATGGCTGAATGCATAAAAAAAAAAAATACAAGCCAAGTATCTGCTGTCTCCAGAAAATGTATCTAACCCACAAGGATTCATTCAGACTCAAAGCGAAGGGACAGAAAAAACATTCCATGCAAATGGAAACCAAAAGAAAGTTGGTGTAGCAGTTCTCTTATCAGATAACGTATACTTCAAATTAACAAAAGTAAAGACAAAGATGGTTATTATATAATGTTGAAGGTAACAATTCAACAAGAAGACATAACAATCCTAAGTATCTATGTACCTAACACAGGTATGCCCAGATTCACAAAGCAAACCCTACTAGATCTAAACAAAAGGATAAACAGCAGCATTACAATAGCTGAGGACTTCAACAACCCACTGACACAATGCGACAGATCCTTCAAACAGAAAATAAACAAGAAACAATGGACTTAAACAGGACTTTAGAACAAATGGGCCTATAGACATTTACAGAACATTCTACCCCCAAGTTATTGAATATATTAATATATTCTTCTCATCAGTTCACTGAATATTCTCTAAGATTGATCACATCCTAGGCCACAAAGCATGTCTCAACAAATTTAAAAAAAAAGGCCAATGCAGTGGCTCACGCCTATAATTCTAGCACTCTGGGAGGCAGAGGCAGGTGGATCACTCAAGGTCAGGAGTTCAATACTAGCCTGAGCAAGAGCGAGACCCCGTCTCTACTAAAACTAGAAATAAATTAATTGGCCAACTAAAAATATATAGGAAAAATTAGCCGGGCATGGTGGCGCATGTCTATAGTACCAGCTACTTGGGAGGCTGAGGCAGTAGGATCACTTGAGCCCAGGAGTTTGAGGTTGCTGTGAGCTAGGCTGATGCCACGGCACTCTAGCCAGGGCAATAGAGTGAGACTCTGTCTCTAAATAAATAAATAAATAAAATAAAGAGAGAGAAAAAAAGAAAAAATAATAAAAATTATACCATGTATCTTCTCAGACCACAGTGGAATAAAATCGGAAATCAATTCCAACAAAAACACTCAACTCTACACAAAGTCATGTAAATTAAACAACCTATTGCTCAACAATTATTGGGTTAAGGAGGATTCATTAATATGGAATTGGAATATTATTAATATTCCAATTAATATGGAAATCAAAAGATTCTTCGAACTAAATGATAAAGCAGACACGTAGGTTACCAAAATCTGTGGGATTCTGCAAAAGTAGTCCTAAGAGAAAAACTCATAGCCTTAAATGCCTATGTCCAGAAGACAGAAAGATCACAAACCAACCAACAATCTAATGAGTCGTGTCAAGGAATTGGACACGACCAATTCCAAACCCAGCAGAAGAAAAGAAACAACTAAGGTCAGAGCAGAACTAAATGAAATTGATAACGAATAATTATACAGAAGATTAATGAAACAAAAAGTTAGTTCTTTGAAAAGGTAAAATCAACAAGCCTCTTGCTAGATTAACCAGTGAAAGAAAGGACCCTAATAAGGTCAATCAGAAATGAAAAAGGAGATATTACAATTGATACCATGGAAATACAAAATATCATCTCTGAATATTATAAAATTCTCTATGAACATAAACTTGAAAAGTTGAGGAAATGGACAAATTCCTGGAAACATACAACTTCTCTAGGCTCAATCAGGAAGAAATAGAACTCCTGAAGAGACCAATATCAGGTAATGAAATTGAAGCAGCAATAAAAATCTTCCAACAAAAAAAAGTCTAGACCAGAGGGTTTCACAGGTGAATTTTACCAAACCTACAAAGAACTGGTAGCTGTACTACAGAAACGATTTCAAAACATTGAGAAGGAAGGAATCCTTCCCAACTCATTCTACGAAGCCAATATCACCTTGATATAAAACCAGGAAAGGACATAACAAAAAAAAGAAAATTACAGACCAAGGTCCTTGATGTCAAACTCCTTTCCAGAAATGCAGTAACAATTAATACCTCCACTGGCAGAACTTAACGTGTTTCTGACTCACCATATCCTCCCAGCATTGGATATTCTCAGTAAAGAAAAAACCTTGCTAATTTGTAAGAGAAAAAATGCTTCCTGAAGGTTGACTTTTTCTCCCATGCTGATTACCCATTTGTATGATATACCCCCTCACTCTCCTGGGATTACCCTTTCTCTTTCACCAGCCAGTAGAAAAGCACCTCTGGGAACAACCATGTGTGTCCCTAAGGCCTGTCCCTAGCAGCCTGGAGCTCTACATCTGTGGCCACTATGTCTGATGTGCTTTTTTGCTCCCTGCAGCCTCCCCATAGGGCTTTTCACTTAGGTGATATTCTGTCCATGTCTGGGGAATAACCAAAAGGATGAACTGCCTTTATCCAGAATGAATCATGGCACAGGTATGATTTGGGATTGGAGACTGGTTTGGGTATCCTCTACTTGCTCTTGCTTTTAAGTTGGCTAACAGATTTTCATCACTGTCCATTCTGTGGGAGCTTTGGGAAAATATCTCAGTACCAGGATGATGGTACATCTTTAAACTAGGGAATTAGCCATGAGCCCTCTGGGTTCCTGGATGGGGATTCCAGGGTTCCTGAGAGGGGACCAGCTGTTCTTTGGTACTGTAGAGGAAACTGGCTTCCCAATGCAATCAACTCCATGCAGTGGTCCACTGGGCTCTGACGGCAGGTGCCACATTGTTCTGGTGGGGTTTCACCACAATCTGTTACATGGCAAGCTCCCTTCTTGGGCCCTGTCTTCCTTTCTTTGGTCTCAGAAAATATGGTCTTCATCATGTTCTAAGAGGACAGATGTCTGTAATTCTACATTTCTACCCACACCCCAAGGCTTGGCACAGAGTAACTACCCATAATCATTAGCTTGCCTGAGCTGTTCTCACTCTTGCCTTTAGGATTCTGCTCACGCTGTTCTCCAACCAACAACCCATCACATTCACTTCCCCATCCTTCAAGGTCCAGCTCAAAGGCTGCCTTCTTTGAAGCCTCACATGGCTGTATCTTTACTCCATCTCTTTCTCACATCATCTCTTGAAGGGATATCACAGTGAATAGTAATTGCTTCATGTGTTCAATAATCATTTACAGAGTAGCTGCTACTGTGACAACACAGCCTCTACTTTATTTCACCTTTCCAGATAGGCTGCAATTTTCTCTATACAGGAACAATTTTTTCTTTTTCTCCTCAGTCCGTAGTTCATTCCACAGATATTTATAGGTATGTCCAAAATGGAAGCTTATGATACAGTATAGATACCTCCTAAATATGTAATGATGGGAAGTGGAATTCCCTAGCTACAGAGATGGTAGTCAAACCACTGGAAATGCTTTATCTGGGATTACAACAATATATCTTGTTTATATTTGTCATGGGAAGAAATGGCTAATTCAAGAAGAACGGGCCATGGAAGGGTAATGGAGCAATCACAGCTCACTGCAGCCTTGAATTCCTGGGCTCAAGCAATCCTCCTGCCTCAGATTGATTGATTGATTGATTTTTGTGAGACAGAGTCTCACCCTGTTGCCCGGGCTAGAATGCTGTGGCGTCTGCCTAGCTCACAGCAACCTCAAACTCCTGGGCTCAAGCTATCCTCCTGCCGCAGCCTCCCAAGTAGCTAGGACTACAGGCACCACCATGCCCAGCTAATTTTTTCTGTATTTTTAGTTGTCCAGC